GGTAAAAAAAAACCCGTCGTGGGATCTCGCAGTGGACGTGCGGTGTGATAATATGAACGCGACGTCCACCGTCAGCTACCATCAGTAACACTACGGACGAACACGGCTCTTTGCTATGACTCTGACTGCGCCTGTACTGGCAGATCCCGCTTCTGAAATAACCTTTCAGAGTTAAAGGAAGCGTTACAATGTGGCTTTTTAAAGAAATTATTTGCCGTGAACCAATTATTGTAAAAGTAAACTTGAACCCTCAATTCTGAGCTCACTCGCCCTTTTTCACGGGCAGCCATATGGTCTCCACTCTCATTGCCAGTTGACACACTTTGAAGTGATGCGAGAAAGACGCTTTCAACTTATTTGGAGAAGAAAAGTTAATGTCCTTCCACGTTTTATGATCGTGCCTCATTATCTTTTCTCAACTTAAATTGTAGTCACAGCTCATGCTTACAGACTTCTTTGAGATCTTTGACGCGCTCCGCGATTTTGCTTTAAAGTATTAAAGTTCGTTCACCTCAAGGTTCAGTTTTTAGGACGTCGGGAATCCGGCAAAGGACGGGAGGCGAAGTTATTATGAATGCCACCGTGAAATGTGATTCCACTACGTCCATTTGACCACTTGACCATGCCACGTAGTGTCCAGCGAGTTCGGTAGCTTTTGTCCATGCGGTAAAGGTCTATTTCCCCCCCCCCTCTTTTTTATCAACGTTCTCCTCCTTCTCTCCCCTCCTCATTCTCCCCTTCTCATGTGGCGTCGGTGGCCTAGTGATTAGGCTACCGGACTCGTAATCGTGAGATTGCATGATCAGGGGTTCCAGCCCCAGCTCAGTTCGACGCTGTGCTCTTGGGAAAGGCACTTTACACGAATTTCCCACTTGGCTCGTTCCTTTCGGAGATGGACGTTAAACTCGGAGGTCCCACCGTATAATAGTGTTGATAGGGGCGTTAAACCTATACCATTTCACCATTTTCCCTTTTCCTGCTCTTTTTCTCCCTCTCCCCCCCCCCCTCTTTTCGCCTTGGCCATTCTTGAAAATATGTAAGAACATCATCTTTAGCGTGTGACGTCTGGCCCCACAGAAAGTACAATACATGTAACTGCGTAAGGTCATATGAGCGCGGGACCGTGGTCTGCGGTTAAGGTGCTTTGCTGTCGTGTGCAGGAGACACGAGTTCTATTCTTTTGTGGAAAGGTATTTTTGTCCAGTACACATTATCTCCATCTCTCTGCAGTGATGCTATATATTCATCTCAGCCCGACGCCTTCCTTCTGTAAATGGTCTAGATTGTGTCGATGGGGGCGTAAAGATATCCACATTAAGAAAGGAACCACACACGCATAGACCCCCCCCC